AACTTCACAGAATGTCACCAAGCATAATTAATGAATGATACACATAAAATTTAACAAAACTGTGATGTTTTATACATGAACATGTTCAGTAGGCACTGTGTAATCACAGAAAGGTGATATAAGTAGTACAATTTGGCCCATGTTGGCTGAAATTACTCAAAATGCTACCCCGCCCACTTTAATTTTCAATAATGCCAAAAATGGACAACACTACAATAGATTCATTACAGCTCAAAATCAGCCTAAAATATGATACAGCTCATCTTTACTAATCAGTATCATCCCTATCACTTTTATCAGAGCTTCATCCCATGTATCTCTTTCCTCTGTTTTCTGGGAAACATTTGCACAATATTGGCAGACATTAAGGTGACCAGACGTGCCACTTCTCGGGGACATGCACGTTTATGTCATACAATGATCATTCTGCACAGCGCTAACAACCAACACCGGGTTATTTTGGGCAATTTAGAAATCCTGTGCAGAACCTGTTCCTGCAACACATTCTCACCCCCAACTCGTGACATATGGACGCTTGGTCAGGATCCCTTGCCGTCATTTTTTAACACACTGGGTACCCCTTTGGCGTCATTTTTCAACGTGCATGGATTCCCACAGACTTCTCACCAGAGCCCTCGGCGTTGAAATTTGACGTGTTAGGGAAGCATCCCAGCAAACATGCCCCTTTGGGGCCCGTGTGGGCCCACTGCGGGCAGCCCGCTGTGGGCCCCGATACCGGCATGAAATGCGGGGCACGTGTGGGGCCCGGGTTGGATCCGAGTGGGGCCCGAGTGTGACAGCCCAAAGTGTGGGCTGGCCCACACAAAGCAGAGTGGGCCCCCAATGGGGCCAATTGTGGGCCCATAACATGCCCACAGGTATGTCCACACTGTGGGCTGGGTGTGGACACAGTGGGGAGAGTATGGGCTAGCTGTGAGCATTATGGGGGAAGTGTGGGGGAAGTGTGGGTAAACTGTGGGCTGAGTGTGGACACAGTGGGGCAAGTGTG